TAGTGGTGTTTCTGACTCCATTATAGGTGCAACACTTGGGGCACTAGGCTTTCATAAGTCAAGATCAAGAAGGATTGTGATTGTTATTGCTACATAAAAATCAAGGTAATGTTTCTAACCCTAATCGAATGTGATTTTCTGAATTATATGCTAGTTCATAGGGTTATTGCTTTAGTATTCAATGTTGTATGTTCAAATTTGAAAAACCTAGATCAAAGCAATTAGGGTTGCATGAACACTATAGGATTGATGTTATGCTCATAACCCAACATAAAGTTAGGTGACGTTGGCTCTATGAGGAAAGCTAGTCGAATGGTTATTCTAGACGACCAATTAGACAAATGGTTGACCTTAAGATTGGTGAACTAGAGTGATGTTGGATCTACGAGGTAAGTCAACACAAACATCACGTGGTTTTGGGAGGTGTAACAAGATGGAATCGACACCGCTTGTACCAGTCCTTAATGACAAAGTGTATACTTGTATGTGTAACTTCAGAGTAATGAGCACAACAAATCAGGGGAAATTTTACATGTGTTAGGCGTGCCTCACTTAATGCATTGGATCGTGTTGGCTACGTTAGTAGTGAACAAGATACTTACCTTAGGGGTTATTGATGAATATATATACCCGTAAATATGAAGTATTTGATAATAACTACAAGGATGATTAGATGAGGGTAATTACTGATGTTGAAAAAAAAAGATTAATATTATATTATAATTTTATAGTTATGTCTAAAGTAATAATTAGTAAAAAAGATGAATAATAAAGTGTAACTAAATCTAAAAGCTCTAAAGAAGAATAATATTATTTGAGCAATATTGTGTTGGTTATGTTATGTATCTGATTCCATGTTATGTGAGTGTTTGAATGCATGCTTAACCCATTTGGGATATGCACGTTCCATAACATCTTATTTATGATTAGCTCACATTGCATATGTTGACTCATGTTTCTTTGCTTGTTGTTTGCCTTGTATTGGTATAGGTAGCACATTTAGATGGTTTGGTGAGGATGGGGTCTATTGTGTAGTTAAAATTTGTATGTGTTTAGTAATGATACTACTTTGTACATGTCGATGAGTTTTCATTGCACTTTTTTTTGAGGACTTGATCAGTGTTGGTTTTGAGAATTTTAATAATGATGGGACTAGTTTTTGTTAATAAATTAACATTGGTGATGCATTAATAAAAACTAAAATAAGACTACTATAGTATTATTCTGTTAAATGATGTTTTAAAATTTTTTTGGTGAAAAACCACGAGGTTACACTTGAGAATACATGTGTTTTGAAAGAGCGTCAACATAACGTTCATAGGTTTATAATTTTTGAATCATATGTACTTTTTAACCCTAAATATTATGTGTTTAACCATATATATATATATATATATATATATATATATATATATATATATATATATATATATATATATATATATATATATATACACACACACACACACATATATATATATATATATATATATATGTATATATATATATATGTGTGTGTACTTGTATAAAAGTAATTTTTATGTTTAATGTATATAAGTGTTATTTCAACTTATTTATATATATATATATATATATATATATATATATATATATATATATATATATATATATATATATATATATATATGGTTTCCCATCTTATATATAAATGCATTTAGAATGCTCACAACATTACAATGAGTCCTTATAACAAAGATGTTGCTAGTTCGTGCCCCTCTTGATGCTTTGTAATGTCCTGATTTTCAACCTAAATTTTTCATTATATTTATTAAAATATATTAAAGTGTAATTACATTATGTGGAAACATGTTGTGAATGCACGTGTGTACAGTATAACATTTCCCTTCTCACGAACCAATTAAGCTCCTAAACAACATTTATAAACAAGTGGGTAAGCACGAAGCTTACTGAGTTCTCCAATATACCATATACCATAATACATATTCATGCATACAAACAATGCCTCACGATCTAACAATAATAGGTGTACTTATGACCTTCACACCATTTCATTAACACAAGTCTATATATACTTACGACCTTCATGCCATTTCATTAAAACCAGTCTATATCTACTTACGATAAGACTGACAATTCTAGACATGACCCACAACACAACCCACGATCCACGACACGACACAAAATAAATGGGTTTAGCTTGAGCTTTTTAACCCACCAACTACGGGTTTCTCAAAAAAATAAACTGGTTGATCCGCCAACCCGTTTACATTTTTAATAAAAAAATATTTTTGTTTTTTGAATGTATTTATGTATCAAGTATTAATATTTGATAAATATTATATAATATATATACTATTAATTCATAGACCATTTGACTGTTTTACTAGTGTAGGCACATTTATATATTCCATTCTACTTAAGCACAGAGAAATTATATTATTAGTACTTGCTACTAGCTCTTTATCCTAACATACATAAATATATATTTTACCACATAGTATAGTGAGGTAACTCAGCTGAATATTAGTCCGAAGATTGACAGATATCTAGGCAATTCCATTGTTGATCCAACTGGAGGGTAACACGCCTAACTAGTATTAACCTATAATATTATAAATTATTAATTAATATGATAATCTGGTATTATATGCTAGATATTTTTGAAATCCAACAACCAATCCAACATGACCATTCTTGACACCTTTCCCGTAAGTACACCCATCAACATTATAACTCGAATTACTAATAAATCTTAATTATATATCCATTACAACGACTATGAATATAAATGTTAGTTACACTGAAAGCGATACAAGTGCCAAAAGTTTGGAAATGGCATTGACAAAACTCTTACCTGAGAGCTTATATTCGTCGAGCTTTGAGATACTCCCGACAACTAAAATACCATAGAATCTAAATAAAAACCGTAGGAAAGGTTGAATACTTCAAACGAAAGGTTCTGAAGTGATGTGAGGAGGAATGAGGGCTGAGACGGTGTTTATAGGCTGAATCTCGACCATCCTTCTACATCTGATTTATATTCATACTTCTAATTCTAATTCTCTCTAAGCCTACTGTTGCACTTAACTAATCATCTAAGATTCTCAATAATCTCAAAGTATTACGATTTTAGATTTGCAAGTTGAAGTTCGATTTCAGATTGCAATTTCATATTTGCAAGTTACCGTGAAGCAAACCTCTTAGGGCAACTGACAACGAAAGTAGAAAGTTAGAAAGGTCTTGTTGGATTTTGCGATTTGGTTGGTTTCTCTTAAACTGGTTCGTTGACTTTGATTTTTCTTACTCTTTTTCTAATTTCTTTCTAAACTCACTGTCATCAATCTTCATCAATTAATCCGGTTTTTGTGGACTGTGGTTATGGTTTGTTTTAGGAGTTTGGTTTTTATCTGTTTGAATTCGATTATGTTAGATATCTCGATTTTTTCAACTGATTTTTGGTTATCGGGTGAGTTTGATTTTTATTAATGTGATTTTAGTTTCTCTCTATACCTACTATCATAGGTCTGATTTCTCACTCTTGTGGTATGTTGTAGGAGTTAGGTTTGTACTTATTTAAGTTTGATTATAGGAGAAAGGATATGTTGAAGTTGGATCAAGTCCAAAGGTCCGATTTCTCTTCTGTTTGAGTATGAAATTTGTTGGTTTATTACAGATTTTTGAGGTTTACTTCAGGTAAAACTTTTCTAGAGATATATTCTAAAATATTATGTTATGTTTCTGTTATTTAGGAGTTAGTTTTTTTTATTTATTCTGAATATTTGGAGGTGGCAAAGTTTTATGATTTTTCCATTGTTTCTTATTGACAATAATTTTAAAAATGGATTCATATGTATGATTTTATGATTTATTTTCTAGTTCACTTGTCTTGTAAAAAGTGGAAAATAAACCATAGTCAGTTATTTATTTCTTTGCCCATCTTTTAACTTCATTTGTGTTTTAAACCCGAAAACAACAATAGGTTGCTAAAACCAAAAAATGAAAAAAAAAAAAAAAAAAAAAAAAAAAAAAAAAAAAGGCAAATCATTTACGAGGGTGAATGAATAGATTTATTGTTAGAAATCAAAATGTTTTCTAATTCATATGATCGGACACTTGTTCAATTGAAACGTAGATTTTAACAAATGCAACATTGTGAAAGCATACAAAGGTAAATAATCTAGTAGTGATGGGATAAATTTATTTATCGAGTTACAAATTTTGTTGAAAATGAAACAGTTGAAGGTGAAAGTTTTTAGTCATCTATTCAAATAATGGAATACGCAAAAAAAATGCACGTGCTCCCTAATATGTTGGTTGCATATAAGATTCATCGGAAATAAATTTTCAAATTGTATATCCGAAGTACCATGACTCAAAAAAATTGTATATCCGAAGTACCATGACTCAAGAAAAATTTGAGTAGATTGGCAATTTTTAATATCGAAAGTGATTTTTTACAAAATATTTATATTTGAAAATAATAGATGTTTTTGCTTAAAAAAAATGCATAAAGACATTGTTTTAGGTGATTTTTATAAGTGTTTTTTTTTATATTACTTGTTTGATTATAAAATTTACTGCATTTTCGTTTTTTATAAAAATTTTAAGTATTCATTTTGTCTATTGTACAGTACTTATATTAAGTGCATACAATTCTTATCTAGCCCTAGGTATTAGAAACCAATGGACCCCAGGGGATAATAGTAAATGTACATGTACCTTGTGTATATATTCATCACAACAAATGAAACAACTCCAATGATTAATCGGACGAAATCAAAATGTTAAAATGCTGAAAATGTTTCTACTGCATTTTAATGTCGATCTACAACTTTGCATCTTACAAACAAATTGCAAGAATTAGCCAATATGTAGCTATGATTTATGGTCACGAAGTTTAAGCTTACCGTTGATGGTTCATTGAGTGACATCATCTCATGTTGAATACGAGTGTAAAAGGAATTAGAAAAATAATATAATAAATCATCCAAATACCAAATTTTAGTTGTCTTTTTTCCTCAAGAAACCGATAGTTGATTTGCTTCGCACACATTTTCTAACAAATGAAGGCTTTCAACACACTGAACAATCTCGGATATGAAAGAAGCAGCATGGAATTCCACTAGTCTTGATTGTGTCCCCATCTTAGTAAGATAAACTTCGATCCCGTGATCATTCATAGCAGTAAGAAAAAAATCTCCATTGACAGTCAGTTGCAAAACTCCCATAATTGATAATCCTTTAAACTTATTTTCTTTTGATTTATAAACGACAGACCAAGAATCATCTCTCCTCACCCAAATCCAACAATCTCTATAGTAACTGTTATTATCATACGTAGAAATCATTGCTAGAGAACCTTGGAAGGTTGTTAGTCTTGTCAATCTCTGAAAGGGTTCATGCAATGGAATCATGCCAAAAACATGAGTGCTCAAATCAAATGTCATTATACAAGCAATATCACTGTGATGTGATACTGTATGATAACAATCTACCACCCAATGCAAAGCTCCATTCACAAAACATGACCCCTAAATGCCTCTCTTTACTTCAGAAAAAAAAAGGTGTAGGGGAGGAAATCGCACACCAAGTGCATGTCTTTAGTAAATAAAAATATGAACTTTCTGTGGTGTATGATATCTGGACAATCTTGTAATCATCACTGATTGGGTCGAAACCAAACCTAAGCGCAAGCCCAAACCCTTCCAAAGGGCCTCTAGGTGTCCGCGGAAAATTAGGCAGGTTTTGTTTGCGCCTTATTGAAGGGTTCGATAGACTAATTCCCTTCTTATGCTCACTCAAATAGAATATTCCATCACATGAACCAACAATTATGAAAGCTCTGCTACATGGAAACTGGACTGCTGTTATACCATTGTATCCTTCTGTGGGACACAATGGTAACTAGTCTTCTAAATGTAATGTATAAAAGTCAGTTGACAATAATGTATGGAAGTATTCAATGCCATAACGAAGATGATGTCTAAGGAGGAGTTTTTGTGTGGATCGAGAAGTATGCATGCGGATGAAAGAGGGACTAGAAATACAAGAATACCATGATTTGGAGAGTGATCTAAACCGGAGGAGGGATTTGGGTGGTAGTCTTGTGAAGATATCAATAATCAACTCTTGGCATAGATAATCTGACATTGTGTAATCCTGCATTTTTCTAAGGAGATGAAACTTCAGTACTGATAGCATGCAATCAAAACCATCTATGTTTCTATTTAAAGATTTTTCAACAGGATCATGTTTCAGTCAAATCGTAAATTTTCTTAAATAAAATCAAACTAACTTATGTTCTCATCGTAACATCATTTACATCATCCATAAAATGGAAAAAGTAATTGGTTGCGAATGAAACAGGTATATATCGGGCTCTTATATGTTTAGTGAGTTTCTTATTTAGTTGAATATCCTGTGTATACAAATATTCAATAGAAAAAAGAATGATCATTGTTATCAACTAAAATATCTAATGTACTTTCAAAAAGGTAACTAGGTATATTATATGAATCTTAGCCATCATCACATCAATTAAAAAGGCATGAAAATAAAAACTTGAAGGGGAATCGACGATTAAAATCACTCACCAGAGGAAGGAAGCAGAGAAAGAGTAAACTGATGATGAGGATGCTGCGGAAATCTTGTTTTGATATACCAAAACATCGACGATCGACCGACTCTTTCTGGGGCTTAATTAGGTTTCATTTGGGCCCAACGTTCCCTATGTGTAACAGCCACGTTTCCAGGTATATATTATTTTATTTAATTATTTTGAATTATGGAAAGGAACTCGGCGAGTTGATGCGTAGACTCGCCGAGTAGGGTCGCGATTATTCATCCAAATTTGCTTTGGACACGGCGAGTCCATCAGTGGACTCGGCGAGTCCACGCTGTTTAACGAAACCCTAAATCCCCGGGTTTGGAGCCTATTTAAGGGAAATTATAGCCTCTCATTGCGGCTACCAGTCCCTTGAGAGAACCCTAGGTGAGCCAAATCGTTGAAAGGAAGAAGAAGGCACTTTTGATCCTTGTATCTTTGGTTTAGCAAGAAGGAGGTGCAAGAGCAAGAGGGGAGGTGCGATTCTAGTAGTTCCATGGATTCAGAGACTTCATTTTGAGGTAATGGTTCGAACCTCCTTCTATTTTGGTGTTGGTCTATAGAGTTAGAGTTTTCTAACCCCTTTGGAGAGTGATTATGTGGAGCAAATGGTCCCTCTTCAAGTTTTTGCCTTGGATCTGGACTCAAAGAGGTCCAGAGACCGTATCCCTTGGAGCTTTATGGATTATATTGGATTTATTGGACTTAGGTTGCCATTTTTGGGACTAAATCATCTTTTGATGCCTTGTTGTTGTTATACAAGCATCAAGTTTAGAGCTTTACGTGACATTCATGCTTGCGAAGGTCAGATCTTTGATTTAGGGAAACAGATCTGACCTTAGGAGGCCAGTAGAGTTTGTGCATGGCATGAACTCGCCGAGTTGTTCTTAAGACTCGGCGAGTAGGGTTAGGGTTTCAAGTAAATTGCTCAGTAAATAGACTTGCTGAGTCGGGGGATGACTCAGTGAGTCAGAAGGGAGTTAGAGGACTGGAGTTAAAGGCGACACTCGCCGAGTTGTTCTTGAGACACGGTGAGTTGAGTTGTGGTGACCCCGCGATTCATGCCTAGTATGACTTGTCAAGCATAGGGAGGGACACAGCGTGCCAAGCAGGAGAAAGTGTTAAAGGACATGTGTGAACTCGCCAAGTCACCACAGTGCACTCGGCGAGTAGGGTCAAAGTGTGACCGTTGACTTTTAGGGTTTGGTCAATGGACTACCTGTGTTGAGAAGGGGGATAAAATAGCCTTAATCCCTCCTGAGGGTGCCAAAGGCAGGTTGAGTCTAGTCTTGAGAATTATATTTATAAGAGTATTTATTTTATATGAATAGGTGAAGATTAGGCAATATTCCTACCGAGTCAGATATTTACCGAGACGCCTGAGGTGAGTCTTCTCACTATACTTTACCTAGTGTGGTAACAGAGTTATGTGATAGAGTATTTTAGAGTTATATGCCAGTGTAATTGCATGTTATTTATGTGCTATGGTTTATTGTGATATGTGCTATATATGATTCAGAGTTACAGAGTTAGGACCTACGGGTCCACAGAGTTAGGACTTTCGGGTCCATAGAGTTAGGGCTAGAGGGCCCATAGAGAGTTGGGGCTGGAGGGCCCCACTGAGACACATAGACCTGAGGGTCAACAGAGTTATAGCCTCGAGTGGCTATTGTGTGTTAAAGTGGTATTTTGGGGAACTCACTAAGCATTTATGCTTACAGTGTTATGTGTTATGTGTTTCAGGTACCAGCGACGATCGCGGGAAGGCGCCGGTATGATCCGTACACACGCACACTGTAGTTTTTTATATATATATTTTGATCTTGGGTTTTGTATTGATACAATGTTGTTATAACGATTTGTTTATGCTTTCAAATGATATTTTATGGGTTCAAAAGTGAAAAATTGTTCAAATTTTTACGGTGTTACAAGTTGGTATCAAAGCCTTGGTTTGAGGGATTCGGATGTATCTTCGGGAGTATCTGAGCTCAAACTGGGGATTTGAGGAAAATTTTAATAATAAAAATAAAAATAATATTTTTGAAAAAGAGTAAAAAGAGTTTTGAGACAAACAGAGCAGAGTCGTGTGTACGATCAGCCAGCGCCCGAACGGTGATTTCCCAAAATACCCTCCTAATAAGTGATTATCAGATATGTTAAGTATGCTATGTATGGCGAGGGTACACGTTCCGGTTCAGCATTTTGCTCAGCTTCCAGGGCGAGGCAGAGCCTTCAGCAGGGATGTAAGGGATTCATAGCATATGTTATGGACGCAAAGGTTGAGTCGGAGAGAATGAGGTCTGTGAGGGAGGTACCGATAGTGTGTGAGTTTCCAGAAGTATTTCCAGAGGAGTTGCCCGGCGTACCTCCTGTGAGGCAGGTGGAGTTCAGTATCGATTTGGTTCCGGGGGCCGCGCCTATCGCTAAGGCGCCCTATCGCCTTGCGCCTCCAGAGATGCAGGAGCTATCCTCGCAGCTGTAGGAGCTGCTAGGGAAGGGATTTATTCGGCCGAGTAGTTCACCGTGGGGAGCTCCTATCCTTTTTTTTTCAAGAAAAAGGATGGTTCACACCAGATTTGCATTGACTACCGGGAGTTGAACAAATTAACGGTCAAGAACCGTTACCCGTTGCCGAGGATTGACGATTTGTTCGATCAGTTGCATGGAGCATCTTGGTTTTCCAAGATCGACTTGAGATCTGGATATCATCAGGTGAGGGTGCGAGATGAGGATATTCAGAAGTCAACATTTAGGACTCATTACGGGCATTACAAGTTCATGGTGATGCCTTTCGGGCTCACCAACGCACCAGCGGTGTTCATGGACCTCATGAACAGGGTGTGCAAACCAATGTTGGATCGCTCGGTAATCGTATTCATCGATGACATTTTGGTGTATTCGAGATCTAGAGAGCAGCATGAGGAGCATCTAAGGGAGATACTATGGGTTTTGAGATCGGAGAGGCTTTATGCCAAAAATTCTCCAAATGTGATTTCTGGTTACGAGAGGTCCAGTTCTTGGGATATCTCGTCAACCAGAAAGGGATATTGGTTGACCCCGCCAAAATTGAGGCGGTGATGGGTTGGGAGGTGCCGAGGTCGCCCACGGAGATCAGGAGTATTCTAGGGCTGGCAGGCTATTATCGGTGATTCATCAGGGATTTCTCCAAGAAATGTCATGCCACTCACCAAGTTGACCCGGAAGGGTGTAGTTTTTGCTTGGGGTCCAGAGCAGCAGGCCTCCTTCGAGACACTTCGCTAGAGATTATGCGAAGCCCTGGTGTTAGCCCTTCCGGAAGGAATGGAGGATTTTGTGGTATATTGTGACGCATCGATATCAGGATTAGGAGCAGTACTTGTGTAGAGGGATCATGTGATAGCATATGCATCGAGGCAGCTGAAGCCTCATGATGCGAGGTATCCTACCCATGATTTGGAGTTGGGGGCAGTGGTGTTCGCCCTCAAGATCTGGCGTCACTATTTATATGGAGTCCGGTGTACCATATACACGGATCACAAGAGCCTGAAGTATTTAATGGATCAGCCCAACCTGAATATGCGGCAGAGGAGATGGCTGGATGTGGTAAAGGATTATGATTGCAAGATCCTGTACCACCCGGGAAAAGCCAACGTGGTGGCCGATGCCTTGAGTCGTAGGGCGGAGAGTGTTCCGATGCGTGACATTTGTGTGAGGTTGATGGTGATGACTCCGGTATTGGACACCATTCAAGGAGCTCAGGCCGAGGCTATTAGGCCAGAAAACCAGAAGAGAGAACGGGTTGTCGGACAAGTATCAGAGTTCATCACCAATGGTCGGGGGCTTATGACATTTCAGGGTCAGATC